ACAGACTTATCGCGGTTGATCTTGGCCCCCCTCACCATCTCATTCCCACTGATCTCTTTGCTGACTTCGTCAATCTCGGCTCTGCTCGACACAAGAACCGAAACCTCGTCAGCATATGCAGAATACCTGGCTGAGGTGGAAGCCCCAGGCAGGGAAAATCCGCGCAGGACCGGATTCGCCTTTAACTTGCGAAGGAATGGTTCTAACGCAAGAAAGTAAAGCAAAAGCGAGAGCGGACAACCTTGACGAATAGAGCAAGACAATATGAAAGGCTTCGATCTCACCCCATTTAGTTCCACCAGCGCACCGGGGGTCGCATACAAAAGTCGGATCCAGGAGCGAAAGTCGGCTCTGAAACCGGCCGCCGAAAGGACAGCCTCCAGAAACCGATGGTCAACCCTATCGAAGTCCTTGGACTGATCTAAATTAATCAGCGCGGCTTCACTGTCGAATTGTTCTAAGATCAAGCGTACCTTATTCAGGTTATCCTGAATAGTCCTGCCCTTCACTGTTCAGGGCCAATCAGACTAGACAGGACAAGCTGCAAACGGTTGTCTAAGATCTTCGTCAAAATCTTTAACATGGTTAAAGGGCGAAAGTTCCGTAACCCCTCCGCATAGTCCTTGTCCTTACGCAGCAACTTGATCACACCCCTGGTGAAGCGTTGAGGTATAGACCCCTGCTTCATCCAGTGGTTGAAAATCGGTTCCAGCAAAAGAACAAAAACCTCAAGTAAACTTTGTAGGGAAGACCATCTATTCCCGGAGACTTATCCAAGCCAACCTGCTTCAGTGCTTCCCAGATTTTCGACTCTGTAATGGGGCCCTCGCACTTAGCCGCTTCAGCTGCCTCTAGGCAGGGAAAGTCAGCTAAATAGGCGTCGAACTGAGCAGAGCTCAAACCGGGTTTCTCTGGTGAAAAGATCCTGAAAGTAATCCCGAAAGACCTTACATATGCCCTCGTTTGTAGTCACGGTCCGCTTATCCGGCAATGTGACACACGCTATATGTTGCCTAGACGCGTTTCGATTTTCCTCTGCACGCAGTTCAGCGGCCATATTCGTCGCCTCAGAAGACATTATTTTTAACCTAGCCCTAACTACCAGAGCTTGATCCTTCTTGATAAGCAAGGAAGACAACTCTGCCTTAGCTAAACCTATTTCCCCACTAACACGGGATTTCACGGCCCGATCAACTTTTTCTTCTAAAGGCTAATCTATCTAGATTGAGTCGACGATTAAAATCGGCAGCAAACGTTCGAATCTGAGATTTTAAATTGCCCCACCAGGCATTTCCCACAACCGCTCCCGTCAATTCCCTTTGGATCGTTAGTAACAGCTGGTCCCGGAAACCCTGATCAGCGAAAAGCGAACAGTTCAATTTCCAGTAACCAGCCAACCTAACCTTAGGCTTATCTAAGTTTACACAGACCCGGACAAGCCTATGATCCGTATAAACAATATAATGGAAACTTGGACACCCTAAGAGCCCTACATCGACTCCCCTAAGACTCAGTCCAGGTCGCTCGCAAGCTTCCCAGGAGCCGAGTTGCCACTAGTTGTCAAAGTCCATGCTACCTCCCGAGGGTGTTCATTCCGGAACTTACCGACGAGATCAAACCGATCGATAAAGTCCCGAAATGATTTTACGTCCGGGTTGTTAGTACATTGTTTCTGCCCTATACGATCTACATCGGTGTCAAGAACGGCGCGATCTGTCGAAACAAAGCAGGCCGATCGGCATGGATATTGGGCGCATAAACTCCAATGAGACGAAGAACCTTATCCTTTATGGTAACATCCAGCATGCAAGGTCTGCCCGCCAGATCCGCGAAGACAAGGGTACATGCAGCCGTCAAAGACCTGCTCACTAGCCAAGAGACACCCCTCGAACGACCATCAAAACATGCTGAATAAAGGGCGAACCCCTTAGACAATGTCCTCACGGTCATGAGAAGAAAACCGAGTCTTTTGCAAACAACATACATTCACCTCGAGGCGTGAAGGTCATGAGAGAGCCTCGCCCTGCGAGACTCGGACCTCAGGTGAGGACACCCACAGCTTGTCCCATCGAACCAGACATCATCTCAGTATCGAGAGTATCATCCTGAGACAAGCCACCGATGTCCGCAGGATAAGTTAGCTTAAGTTCCCTATAAAGGGATGGGTAAACAAAAAGAGGGACCCTCCCTTTACATTGTTTTGATGTGTCTAGTTTTTCCTCCAAAAGTACTGCGGCTGGCGGCACCACTTTCAAGGACACCTTTGCCTCCTCTATCATGCCCCAAATCTCCCGCGTACCCGGGCCAGTTATAACAACGGTCAACAAAGTTCTGACATTCTTAAAATTTTTTGGCACTTCCACATCAACGCCATTGATGTGCCGTAAATTCCATAGAATTTTTAATTCCTTCGGGTTTTTAGTTTGCCCGAAGACCCTTTCTGCCTGTTCCCGGGATACGCGGCAGACGTCTTCCCCTGGGAGATAAGGTGGCTTGACTTTTTTCTTTTTGTCAGTAGCTGCTTGTGAGTCTGGACTTCTATATCGCTTCTTTTGTGGAGAATGACTGGCTGTTGACATAGGTGTGATTTTGGGTGTTGTGGAGGGTGTCATGCCAGAAGGAGTTCTCACCAGAGAAGGTTTAGTGGAATGAAATGATTTAGCCGGAGAGTTTGACAAAGATTGGGGCGGAGGTGATTTGGTGAATGTCTTTTTAGATGATGAAATGGAAGACGGGGCAGAAGATGGGTGGTCCGGTGCCCCCAGCGATATTTGAATTTTAGCCCGCTTGGTCTCCAGTTTTTCCTTTAATTTCTTCAGATCTAAGATTTTTTGCCAGCTTGGCTTATTCAATTTTTAAGATTCAGTGGCGTTTTTTCATAAGACGCCGAGGCGCCGCCCTCAGTGCTGGTAGAGGGAATGGGGCTGTAGGTGTTTTTTATCCCCGGGGTCACGATGGGACAGAGGCCCCGCTATTTGAATCTTCCCTTTGCCCCTAACTACGAGGCGCTATCCCCCCTCATCCTTCTCCTTATCCACACTAGTGGAAGGTATCGGTTTAGGGGGTAATGTGGGTTAGGACCCAACCGTGGGATTTTCCCCACCGGTCCGCTTCGGAGTTAGGCCCATTACAGGCGCCGCGGATTTGACATTCTCGGCCAACGTGGGATTTTGGTCGCCTGTGACCGGAACTCCAGGGGTCTTCTTCCCTGGGCAGGAGGAAAGGTGACCAGTCTCTCCACACCTCCAGCAAGTAGGTTTCCTACCGGTCACAATGATCGGCATTTTCCGGTCGCCTAAATCCAAACTGTTGGGGACGGACTTTAAGGCCTTCTGATCGAGCATGATATCTAAAGTCCATCCCCCCGTTCAAATTGTCGGAGAGCCCCTAAAAGTATGCCGAACTGCATAAAAAATGCAGCCAGGTGCTCTCCCGATATTTGAGGAGGGACCTCAAAAACGGCCACCCTGGTCCTTCGCCGACCCTCATACTCCGTCCTTAGAATCAGGTCTTTTGTAATCAGCTCTTTTTTTTCGCCATTGCCAGTCAATCTTCTGGCGTGGGCAGCAGAATGTCCCACATGAAGAACCCAGCACCCTTAATGACTCTGTGGGGTTTTATCCCCTGGGACAAAAGTGATTTAATCACTCTTTCGTGGAGCGACAAATTTTGCGAGTTCGCTTGTCCACCACGAAAACCGACACCATTCTCTTTGAGAACACATTGAGCTCTTGGACATTTTCAAGGAGCCCATCTTTATTTACCAGATGAGAATAACCCTTCGCCTTTTCCAAGAAATCCGCCATGTTCACTATGCAACTTGGAGGGGGACTTCCAACAAGAGGGCAATTCCTCGGCTGCCTTAGCTTGTGCCTCCTTCGGCACCTCGTCATTTTGGCTTGAGACCTGTCTGGTCTCTCCTTTTTTTTTTTTTGTGCTACTAGCAATCCTTCGCACGGTCTTCTAAATTTGGGGCAGCATTTGCCCGTTTCTTAGCGGATTTTGATTTATCCGGCAAGTCGGCCTTAGCAGCCGCCCCGAAAAGATCTTTTTTTAACATTTGACCGACTGGCTTCGTCGGCCATATTGAAAAAGCGTAGAGACTTCCACCTGCGGGTCTCTTTAAATTTTGTTCAAAAATGGGGAAAGGAGTTGGGAGAAGGCAACACAAAAAAAAGTTAAACAAATAAAAAGCCTGGATACACCAGGAAAAAAAAAAAAAATTACAAAAGCAAACTTTAAAAATAAATAAACTGGGAAAACTAAAAGTAAACCCAAAAAGTAAAATAGAAGATAAACTACAAACTAGATCAACTGAAAGAAATAAATAGACATTTAAGACTTTTTTTTTTTTTTAAATAAAAATGGCGCCCAAAGGCTGCCGAACATAAAAGAAAAAACAATAACAGAAACTCCCCTTTTTTTTTTCTTTTTTTTTTTTATGGTCAAAAATTCAATTAAAATGCACAAAAAAGAAAAGAAATAAAGTCTGGTTTGCAACTAGTCAAACCAAATTAAAAATAAGCCGCTAAAGAAAATAAATTAAAAGCAAAAGAAATACAAACTAGTCAAACCAAAAAAATTTTCTTAAATGGTACTAAATTTTTATTTCCAAACTAAAAAGAAATAATCAGAAATAAAAAAGCAGTCGTCCGGTAAGACTTTGTCAAACCGGACTAAAATAAAAATAAAAAATGTGGGCCGAAGCCCAGAAAAAAAAAGATCGAAAAAAGAAAACTTAACTTAAACGGAAAAAAATTTGGTGGGCCGAAGAAAATAGTTCAATTAAGCAGAAAACTGTTCGTCCAGCACTAACAAAATCCTCGCGCGCCAAAGAAGGTTCGTCGAACAAGTTTCGTCAGACTGCAAAACAAAGCACACGATTACAAAAATTTCAAAGAAGGAAGTCAGAACTACATCTTACGATGGTCACCTGATCTCCCTATTAGTAGTAGAGAGATCAGTCCATTCTGATGAGAAGGTGGGTGGCCCCAACACTGATGAAGCAGGCGCGGATTGTGCTTCCTCCGCCCTACTCCGGTCCGCTCTCCTTTCTTAGTGTTGGTAATAAATACCTCTTCCTTCTTTCGTCCTTGTCCCTTTATCTCCTTATTGAAGATTGAGGCGGAGGCATTTCCTCCACCTCCATATTGAAGTCCAGTTGAGGCAACTTCACCACTTGTTCAGGTTGGACCTCTTCTCCAGCCTGCTGCTGTTGACGCACCGGCTGCTCCTGCTTCTGCTCCACCGGATGCCGTTGCTGCTCACGCTTCTGCTCGCGTTGCTTATCCCGAAGTTTCTGTCGCTGCTCCCGCGGCTTCTCATTTTGCTTAGCAGCTCCTTTGCTGTGGACGTCCTGCTTCTGCTGCTCTTCGGCAGCACCCTTTTCTGGGACGTCCTGCTGGGGAGGTGGAGTTGATACATTCGCTCTCCTCCTCACTACTTCATTCCATTTGCTACCAGGGGCCTTTCTTTGTTAGTTCCGCTCTGGGCTGCTCTGGTGTTGGTAGAGGTGCTTGCTTCGTCTGCGGTACTGGTTTCTTGGTTGGACACAACTTGACCAGGTGTCCGGCCGCACCACAAGGCCAACAGGATGGGCGATGTCCCTCGACAACAACAAAAAATGCTTCGGTCGCCACAGGAAAGGATATGGGTATCTCATTGAACTTTGGCCGGGTCAATGTCACCATGACCACAACATCGCTGGTGGCAATATCCGACTTTTGAGGGAAGATGCCACATCCACAAACCTGTAATCCTAAAAGAACCCCCCAAATGATCTTCTGTGATGTACATTTGTACACCATGTAAAGTAATCGGGTGCAGCCTCATTGTTTTGGTGGTGAGGGTGCATCCAGCCAGATCTTTAGCTGCCTCTTCAGTTGTCAGCAGGATGTCCCAGACAGCCTTTAGGTCTTCTTCCATTGCCTCTCTGCTGACAGCCATGAATTTCCTGGTCTTGATGTCAACACTGAGGTTGTCCTAGTTGCCACTGTCTCCATGACAGAAGGCATTGGTAACGGTTCATTTTTTGAGATGAACTCCTTGTATTCATCTCGGAGACTCCTTTAATATTCTGGCTCTCTCTTTTGGACCTTTCTGGCACCCAAGCTGATGGTGCAGTCGACGTACTGGCCAGTGGCTCTTTTTCCTGGATCGCCTCCGCCATGGCGGGAAGGTATTCCCAGATAAAACAGGAAACGAACAAGCAGTTAAAATATACAAAAACAATGACAAATGTCCGACTTGCTATTCTGAAAGTTTCAACTAGCGTCCAGCCGACTGACAAAATAAACAGGGTTGTAACTTAAAACGTATATCCGTTTTTTTGTTCTTAACAATGCGTCCTGTTCTGTCCCGTCTTCCTCACACTCTCTATTTATGCCCTCGTCGGGGACAACTAAAATTTCCATACGAGACTTACTTCTCGTTCGTCCGAGACTTTCGATCTTATAAATTTACGCTGGCTTGAATTTTTAGTCTTTTTTATTTTTATTTTTCGTTGTACGCCTGCCCGCGATATAAGAGTTTCGGAATATTAACGCCAGTCCCAATCTTTCAAAAAGACCTGACACCCCATGCAAATTCGTCTTGCGCGAGGTAAGTCTTCTCGTTGCTCACACAAACACTGGACGAAAATCGAACATTTACAATTATTGGCGCTTAACTCTGCCAATTTGAAGTCGTCGCAGTGTTTATTGACTACACTCGCGAAAGTAGTATAATCTTCATCTTCTTTGCGGGTGAGATTCTTGCTTTTGGACTGAAGAGTTCTGTTAATGATTGAACCGCCTCTTTAAATTTTAAGTCGCTGGTTTTTTAGGCAAACTATAGTTAACAAACTTAGTATATTCTGCTGTGCCTAATTTCCTGAGGAGTAGGTGAAACTTTTTATGGTTAGCCCAACAAACCATATTGTGTAAGTCCCCGTAACTTTTAAAATACGAAGCGAATGTCATTTCATCTTCAGGTGTAAACATGCTGTTTTCAACAGCAATCCATACAGCGTTTTGAGAGAACACGTTATCCCTGTCCCCATTTTGTTTTTTTTGTTTTTTTTATGGACATGCACAAGTGCCTTTGCTCATTCTGTTTTTGAAGGAGCATTTCTTCCAGTTTGAATTTCTCGGTGCAATTCCTCAAATTTATTTGGTATTCTGCTTGTTCTCGTTGGAATTACTCTTGTCTGTCTTAGTATTTCTGCTCCAACAGCAAATGTCGTAGAGATGGATTAGAATTCTTTACTTTACCATTGTTGTAGACACTGACATTTTTTTTATTATTTAACGTGAAGTCCGTTTCTTCGAATCCTTCGTCGTCAAGACGTTCTGACCAAGTAAATGGTTAAGTAATAACAAAAACCAGGTTTTCATATATATCGTATATTAAACAGTGAGTACACCAGAAGATTATTATACGATTAGTTAGTGTATCGAATGAACTAGGGCTCAATCTGTCTTAATCTTATAGCAAGCGGAAGAGTCTGACATAGACTCTTTAGAGAAGATATCGCAACAGATTTCTTCCATTAAATACAAGATAAAAGAAAGCAAACAGGAAAAACATTAGATGAGAAAATAAAGAATAAAACAAAAGACTGGTTAAACCGGTGTAAAAAAAAAATTAACTACGAAGAAGTAATTAATAAAAATACAATTTTTAAAAAAACTTAAAATTAGATGAAAGAGGGATGAAAACGAAATCATTGAAGTTTTAAAGAAATGAAGACTGGGAAAACTAAAAGGGTACCCCCAAAAAAGAAAGAAATGTCTGTCGAATCCGAGGAGTTACATGTCCTGGGTATGATAGTAAACTTCCTCCAGCAGCAAGGCCTCTGATTAGGTGGTTTTTCGGAGCGTGGAACCGCCCCTTTGTTGCTGCTGTTCCTGGTCAACCATGACCCTGGATGGTAGCACCAGTTAGGGTCCCAGCTACGGGTAAATAGTTCTCCCTTTCCGTGATCTGGAGTTGGAATACTAGGAAAGTGTAGGAATGTTTGGGGTTTTTTTTTGGTTTTTTTTGTTTTTTTTTTTGTTTTGTTTTTTTGTAATAATAATACCATCAACACAAATTGCAGTATATAAAGTGAACATTCGCAAAACCCGATTTCAATAAAATAAAATAAAATTTCCTCTAAATGGTGGTCACCCGTTTGCCGTGGTAGGCGACCCCTGATGCCTGGGGACGGAGTCCTGGTGACTGATTGACTCCTGATCTGGTATCAAATAACCAGGAGTTTCTACAATACGTCACTTCTGTCCCTACCTGGGATAGACGAGCGGATGGAATAGCCCAATCCATTCCAATTGGCTAGTCACATAGTGGCACGGGCTCATTGGGATGATAGATAATGGGTCTGACAGGGCCACGAAACCTTACATCATACTATACTTGGGTAGATATGGTGAGGGAGTGCAGCTTCTCGTATTCACTCTCATTACAACTATACTGTCTGTGTAGCCTTGGTGGATTAGGGCGAATGGGATTAGTCCCCCCCCCCGATAGCATCCCTTAAGGAACTCCGAGGTGGGTAGGAAGAACAGACGGCGAATACAAAATTAAAATTATATGGCTATCTCTTATAAGCAAACCAAGAGACTGGGACTTCTGAAAGCGAAAATGAAATAGAAAAAAAATCAATTTCTAAATTTCATTGTTGTAGAATCAGTAGTGGGTGATATAACAAAAGTCTCTCCTTTCGTGTTGCAAAGGGTTATTTCAGATATGATCAAACCACAATCTGTTAAAAAAATAAAAAATACTCTATAGTGATCTCCAAAAAAGACGCAGAGAAATTGCTAAAAATCAAGCAAATTGACAACAATAAAGTCAGGGCCTACCACCATCAATTTCTTAATTCATGAAAAGGAGTAATAAAATGCCCAGATCTGTCACTTTGTTCATCAAAATAAATTGAAAATGACGACACCCTAAAAGAATCTAGGAGTGACAGATGTTAAAATAATGCAAGTAAAAAGAAATGACAGAGTAATAAAGACCAACACATATTTTGACATTCGACAAACCAACTCTACCAAAAGAAATAAAGATAGTCTACACAAAAGCCAAGGTAGAGCCATACATTCCTAATCCCCGTAGATGTCATAAATGTCAAAAATTTGGTCATCTTGAAAATATTTGTCCAAGAACATAAATCTGTCAAAGATGTGGGGAAACCGAATAGTTACTGAGCAAAATGAAACGAAGTAGAAACAAGAGGTGCAGAGAACAAACCATAAACAAAATGATAAGTCTGAAGTTTTTCTCCCCGGAGTCGATCCTCCAGATTTACAAATCAACAATTCGCTCTTGCATGGAGCATTGCTGCCATATATGGTCTGGAGCCCCTTCTGTTTGGCTAGGGGTTCTTGGTAAGATCGAGAGGCGGATATGCAATATATATCATCTGGCATCTCGTCTACAGTCACTTTCTCACAGACGCACCGTCGCCTCCCTCTGTCTGTTCTACAAATACTTTCATGGAAATTGCTCCGAGGAGCTGCATTCGCTGGTTCCCAGACGTCATGAGTTCCAGCGCCATACGAGGCTGGCATCCCACTCTCACCCCTTCACCCCTTCACTGTCGAAACTCCTAAATGTAGCCGTCTCTTCTACTCTAATAGCTTCATGTCTCGCACCACTCGCCTGTGGAACTACCTTCCCTATTCCTGTTTTCCTGTGAGCTATAATCACTAACTATTCAAGTGTGATGTCAATCGACATCTCCATTTGCCTTGATCTATCCACTACCCTCATCCTATCACTCCTATCTGATCTTGCTCTAAATTTTCTGTAACCTCTTGCGTCTTAGTGGCTTCCCGCCTTGCTTGGGGTGAAATGCTTAAATATATATATATATATATAGAGAGAGAGAGAGAGAGAGAGAAATGGACTCATATAAAAAAAAATTCATAATTCGTAATACATAATTAAAATGCAAAACCTTATTCAATGGAATTGTGACTAGGCTCACACTGTGTAAAAATAGGTTGTAATACCAGAAATGCTTGGTAAAAAATGATTACCAGTAATACATTTTTGAAAAACAAATATTACCAGCAATAAATTTTTGAAAAAAGAAAAAATATTACCAGCGATAGATATTTGAAAGAAAATTATTACCAGAAATTCCATTCCCCTTTCCTCTCCGTAACGGTATGAACAGCAGGCAAAGGTTTTTTCAGGGAATGGCCGTTGTGAAACAGACCCAACTGGGGGTTTTACCACTCCGGTCTTGGTCTCTGACATACCCATTACAGGCGAGACGGAATAAATAGAATCGTCCAAAGGGGGATTTTGGTGGTTGGGGCCAGAACCCCAAAGGAGGTCTTCTCTGGGCAGGAAGGGTGACCAGTCTCGCCACACTTTCAACAATTTGGTCTATGGTCGGTCAAAATGACCAGCATTTTCTGGCCCTGTACTTCTAGGTCGTCCGTCTTGGGTATGACGATAAACTACATCCACGTCCTGGCTATGACGTCCAACATCAAGGCTTCTGATCAGGAGGTTTTGAGTGTGGAATCACCTCTTAATTGCTGGTGTACCTAGGTCAACACTGACCCGGGTGGTAGTACTTGTTAGGGTCCCAGCTATGGGAAAATAGTTAACTCCGAAACTGGGGAAAAACACTATGAAAGTGTAAAAATAGGTTATATTACCAGCAGATTTTGTCGCCATTAAATAACACACTGAGGTTGATATACCGTAAAACAAACCAAACCGAACCA